CGGCCGCAGCGGCGCCCCCTTCCTGCCACCACAGCGGGGAGCGGACCCCGGCGCTGTGCGGGCTCCGCAGCAGATCCCCACGCTCCCCTCTCTTGCAGTTTCAAATTCTGAGCGTTTTTCCCCACAATCTTCCTGACGGGGTTGAGGGCAAATGGTGCCAAGCGTGCAGAATCAGCATACAGCGACTGGCAAGCGGGAGCACCCCCGTGGCCACCAGAGCCCCAGCACCCATGCCCTCTCTCCTCTCTTGCAGTTTCAAATTCTGAGCGTTTTTCCCCACAATCTTCCTGAGAGGGCAAATGGTGCCAAGCGTGCAGAATCAGCATACAGCGACTGGCAAGCGGGAGCACCCCCCATGGGACGCTCTCGAGGAAGGGTGCTGAGGGGCTTGATCTCAAATTTTTCTGAAGAAAAATTTTTTTTAGAACCAGATTTTTTTACGCGAGGGCTGCTGAACAGGCAGGGTGCAGTAACTACATGTTCAGAAGAGCATTGATCTCCCACAGCGCTGAGTTTCCGGTGAAATGCTCACCCCTCGAGACACGTATGGCATTTAACGGCAGGAAAATGGCAGCAGGTGGTTTGCTGGGCAAAAAGAAAAATCTTCAAAAAAAACCAGTCATTTCAGCAAACATGATTTTTAGCCATCCTCAAAGACAGGCTGCTTTATCAAGGAATAAAGACAAAGAGGAATGTCTAACAGGCTTTTACTTTTTGATAAAAATCAGCTCAGTCCCATATCTGTACCAGAGGTTAATCAAGTGTCCCATTAAAATCATGTCCCTGGTTTCCATTCTTAAACCAGTTGTTTCTCTTGAAGCCACCGTCACCTTGCCTCCCGTTTCCGAACCTGGAGAACCCCCGTCCTGCCTCCTGGGGGTACTCTTCCAGCTCAGGCAATTCCTTTGCCACCGACAGTTGCCAGCGCCTGGTGTCCCTCCACTGTTCCTGAAACAAGACCAATGTAACGAGACTTTATGTGCCTGCAGGTGTCTCCAAGGTACCTTATGTTATTAAAAGCAACACCGAATGCAAAGCCATTTCCAGACAAACCCCACCCTCACCAAAATAGATAGGCAGATCCCTCTTGGGAGACAACTCACAGTCCTGTGACAAAGGATAAACGATCACAAAAGAACGAGAGGGAGTGAAGTCGACAGAAAACTCGTTAACTCAAATACACCGGAGAGGTCAAAACCCAGAGTAGCCAAAGAACATAGGATTTTATTTAATAAAATCGGGTAATATAATGAGAACTGAAACGAGAAAGAGGCATGATGGTATTTTCTAATGACTGTGCTGTGCTCTTTCTAATGACTGTATTGTCTATGCAATGTCCTTGTTAAAACACAAACCTTATCCTCCCAAATCACCCTATATTCAATCCTATATATGGCAATCACCAAATTCCAAATCACCAGGTTCCAAAGCCAATTCTGGCTACAAAAACATACCTGTATGTTACTCAGTTCGCCAACAGGGATATCAAAGCACACACCCTATAATAACAGGGGGGAAAAAAAAAAAAAGAGGCATTTGCTTTCCAAAGATATATCCAAGAACAGAGACACACAACTCCAGACAGGCAGCACCCACAACTGCTCATACACACTAACTGTAGAAACCATGGTCTTTTAGGGGAAGCTTTTTATAAGCTGAAGAAAAAAAGCAGTTAAAACACAAAAGCTCAAAACGAAATGCAGATTCAAATGCTCTGTGCTGACAGCAGCATTGCCTGCAATCAGCCTGTCTGTTTGAAAGTTAACACAGGCATCATCTGGCACCACAAGCTCTCGAGAACACACCTGCACAGGAGACAAGTGTCAGAAGCCAGGCTGACAGGTGAATACTGTACTGATCAGGTCAGGCAGTCAGTCACTGCCCTGCTCTACAGCTGTCTTTTCAATGCAGTGGTATATAGTGTTAGCACAAGTTTACAATGAAAGAATAAAGGTCACAACAACCACTCCCACTATATACATATCTCTGATGCTTTTTGGTTTTTTTAGGAGAGAATTCCTGCATTATCATTTAGGAGCAATGTCTCCATTCAAATAAGTGTCTTTTAAAATACTCAACTAGCTGTGAGGTTTTGTTTTGGGGTTTTTTTTATACTGTATACATAGACAGCAGTTACAGGGGGCCTCATGATAGGTTACCATTTTCTGAGAAATGAAATTGAGTAGGGATAGAGTGAGGTATCAATATTTGTATACTGGTACTTCAGAACTCCTGCATCAATCACTGCAAAAACTGGCCATACGTGTACACACACACCCCCACCCTCCTTCCCCAAGGTTGGGCCATCTTACCGTCTTCCCCTTGAGGAAACGCATTGCAGATACTTTGGCATCTACTTCCTCACCAAGCTGTTCTTTTAGTCCTCGCCAGGCATAGCTCATGGTACGCATTTCTATTGAACACTTTAACACCATGGTCACAAAGCCCTTCAGGAAACAGAGAAAATAATTTACAAGACTAAACTTCATTGGACAGCCTGTAACTCACTAACTAATGAACTATGCAATAACTTGTTATTGTAATGTAGTATTTAATCCTAAGAAATCAGCTTCCCAAAAGTGAAGCAACTAAAAGCCTCCTAAGAAGCTGAAGGCATCCATCTAACCCAGGATTGCCCGTTGATATAAAGGCCAATAGCATTTCTGTATTTTAGCCAGAAGCAGACACACATTTATTCAACACATACAGAAAGTTGCCGCTAGAAAAAGGGTAAAAAAAACCCCAAACTGATACAAGAAGCACAGTCCAGTCACATGCTATTTCCAAAACTGTGTTGCAAAGCAACGAACTGGGACAAGTTCTCCCTAAATGCATCAGAAAAAGGAAGGGCTGTACTTTTCTTCTGTCAAGATCTCTTTGAAATCAGGTAATCACATGCTAGATTTACTTGAAATATTACAGAAATGTAAAAGCTTCCTGGGAAGGGAAAACTACAATAGCACGAACCAATCTATTAGCTTGTAAAATGTTATTAGTTAAACTCTTTTAAAGCATCAAAGTCTTCTGTCACTTAGATCTCTGGAGAAATTCTTTTAACTCTCATTACAAGAAAATTTACTAACTGATTTTGAATTTCTCTGGTTTCCTGCAGAGTGCCAGTAAGAGCTGATTTCAGTTAAGGAATGAGCAACAAACCAGAAGCTGGAGATAACAGCTATTCAGAAACCCTACTGAAAGAGCCTGAGAAGAAGATGCCACACTTGGACTGGACACAAGCAATTCATTTATCCATTCTTGTAACACAGGTATAATGTTATTTACCGCAGTTGAGTTGAGTAAGGAGCGCTGCTGTATGTAAGATGCCCCAGAAATATGGGCTAGAGCTGCAGCCAGGGCAGCAACCGCCCCTTTTTCATCTATGAGCTCTTGAGCAGATTTCCTGAAGTAGTCTACTGCAGAAGGAGGAATGGCCTCCAACAACCTACATGGTGACAACAAAAGTTTAAGAGATCAGCAAAGGCCAGTGTGAAGTGCAGTCATGTTTAAGACATAGACTTCAGAGAGCTTTCAAGATTAATGAATTATCTCTAAAAGCCTTGGCTATCATGCTCATGCTTCACTACCACTCATTTAACTCAACACCTTCAGGATGCTGAATACCCACCTTCTCTGTTCATTAAGCCAAGCCTCCTGAAACATGTTCAAAACTGAGGATGTACAACGTGGCACGTTTGACAGCATTGATAGAAACATCAAGGGAAGGCTCTAAAATATCAGCATTCTTAAGGCTGTACCCAAGAATCCACAAGAAAGTGTTGCCAGCAAACCCAAGAATCCCTTGCTTTTACTTCACAAGGAAGAGAAGCAAACCACTACAATGCCACTGCTGGGCTGGAGCAAGGCACTTCTGGCCCTCAGTGCAAGCTGATTAAATTGGTTACTTCTGGGAGAGGCAGTGAAAACAAGCTGGGAAACTGAGAACAACTATTTTTCTAATGCTATTTTTGGTACACCAGCACCTCCTACCATTTTTCAGTACGCGGTGAACCCAACACCATGCCCATGATCTCCTTTACACTGGTCAAATCCTCGCTAATTATAATAATCTCTGTCAATGCAATTTCCACCAGTGGGGGAGCAAATGTAAACAGCTGCATGGAATAAAAACCACAACCCTTGAGAATAAAACGATACAAAGAAACATAGCACAGGACTACAACACCCTCACTACTGCAGAGTAACTCCTCATTATACTAAGTATTGCTCTTTAGACACTGCTACTGTATCACCTGAGCGGACAAAATCAGTTTCCCCTCATGACAGTAATTCCCTGTTCTGCTATTGATTTCTGATGATATAAACAAAGGTTAATTTTTGCAAGAACTTAGAGAACATTATGTGCTATGAAAAGGTCTACATTCAAGCACAATGAGGTTTATTGATATCATCTTATGAAAACAAGTCAGTGTCTACATGCAGAGCAGCTCATTTTTACGACATAGGCAAAGACATGCTCACATACAGGTCTGATCTCTTAAAGCTTTGCATTAACAGCATTGTTGTTGGTAACATCTCTAGACATCACCTAAGAACAGGCAAATAAACTTACTTTTTGGCATCATTACTTGAAGCTTTAATTACATCCGTAGCAGAGGGAACACCTACACGCTTAAATGTAATCCCCTGAAATCAAGAAAACAAATTACAGTTAAAGGTATTTTCAGCACTCTACAACTCAACCCTACCTAAGTAATTTTACTGAGACCTCTAGTTACTGTTTAGAACATCAACACAGCCTTTACTTAATTTATTTCTAAAGCTAGAATAAAGCTTTTAAGTTCCCGCCTTTGTTAATCTGGAGCTACTTTACACCAATTTACATGCAGATTGTAATGAGAGGCATGGTCTCCTTCATGCATTCCTGTCACAGTCTGCCTGCGGACATCAACAGAGTACTGCCAACATGGGAAAACTCATGAGACATTAGAGCAGGCTGATACAAAAGCATTTAGAAACACTTACCAAATATCAACATTTTAGGCCTCCTAGTCTATGGGACATGAGTCCCATACTGGACTGATAAACAGCCCATGGTTACAAAGTCTAACAGTGGCAGAGTCTTTTTAGGAGCTGAATAATTTCATTAAGCAGAGGTCTGAGGTACAACTCACCGCTTTGTGCTCAACTTGTTTCAGAAGATCTTCTTCTCTTCTCTGAAATAAACAAATGCAGATCCCGGTCCGGCCAGCTCGACCCGTACGTCCAGAACGATGGATGTAGGAATCAACATCCTTCAGAAATTCAGATTAACATGAGAAAACGTTATCTCATTTAAACTGTTGACATTTATACATTGTAAGAGAGAAAATGTAAGCTAAATTCTAATTCAGAAGCCTAAGCAGTGTTTCTATACCCAAACTTGTAACTACACACAAACCACTCGGGTTTGCGTATGCTACCCTGCCCAAGGTATGCTGCCTCAGGTTTAACAAACACTGTTGACATAAGTTTTCTTAAAATAAAAAGCTCCACTGGAGTTTCAAAAGAAGAAAAGGCAGCAGGAGTATTTTAGAATTGTTATGACACTCAATGTTCAGAAGGGATTCAGAAATGCTGAAACAATGTCAAAACCTATCTTACGACTTTCCAGAGTAACTGAAAACCATCACTTCTACTTTAATCAAAGCTCAAAATATAAAAGCTTAACTAGGAAATTCTAGGCCTGCATTTTCAAAAAATCCACTTCGTTTGTGAATCAGAACATACTTCTGGTGAAACAAAGGAATAACCCACTGTTCTGCCACAAACAAATAAATTACAATTTTAGTTTCCCCTAACGACTTACTTTTGGTGGTGAACACTGTATAACAAGGTCAACCTCAGGAATATCCAAACCACGGGCAGCTACATTTGTTGCAATCAGAACTTCAAACACACCATTTCTAAAGCCTTTTAATGTAACTTCTCTCTGTTTCTGTGGAATGTCACCATGCAATGACTGGGCATCCTGTCAGTGAAACAAACCATTAAGATGTCATTTAACAGGGGAGTCTAGGCTGCAGTATCTAAAGACATTTAATTACAAAACCCAAAACATTGTGCAGAGCAACAGAAAATAATTACACTGCTGATACCAAAGGAATATAAAGCATCCTACTTTGTAGTTTGATCCTTCTCTGCAACAATAATGCTCATAAGCAGTAGTTTTACCATAATGTTATTATTTGTAGCATACCAACAGCAGAGCGTACAATTTGCAGTCTGCCATGCCAACAAGGGCCCACTTCAGCTTTCACTTCCACTGGAACAAATGGAAACAACTTTACTTAAGCAGTGCTTGTCAAGATCTAGCAGGACACTTTGCTCCCCTCCCTGGGAACCCATCCCAAAACACACAGAAGCTGAAGTGAGGTTTTCAGGGCACTCCCAAACCCTACAGGTGATCTGAATGACCTCCACTTTTAATGGGACAAGCAACAGACCAAGTGTTTGAGAAGGAGAAAGAGGACAGTCACAAGCTCAGAATTCAACTGAGTAACATTCTAAAGCAGAACTTACTAGCATAAGAGAAAAAAGCGTCACATACTGACACAAGAACAAAGTCATTGGATTTACTTGAAAGCAGTAGGACTAACAGACAAAAATTGTTGCTGCAAGATTTTAATGTGGATGGTATATGATATTTATCAAATACTGGGCAAACCATGTATTCCCACCACTGCTCCTTCACCATAAATTAGAATTTAGTATCAAACAGGATTTTCTCTGAAAAAAATCCAGCACCTTTCCCCACTCTCAAAAAAACAGGTGCTAATTCAAGCAAGCATAGAAAACCTGCTCAACGTATCACCTGAGGTCTGAACAAACTATTAAATGACTTTCCAAGGACAACAGGACATTGTGTTCTACCACATTAGTTGGATTTTCCTGAATACTGACTGTCCAAAGAATAAAAGCCATTAAGAGATGGGAATCCAAAGAGCACACTAACATGAGATGGAATATGTGCACTATACTAGCTCCTGTTTATTACCATTATTACTATCTCCTGGTTATTCAGCATAAGCTGCGTATTTTCCATTGATCCAGTCCTGCATGATTTTAAAGCCAAAGGAATAAATTCATAATCGCAGTCAAGAGAGTATTTTAATTGCAAACCTCTACTTTCAGAAACAGCTTTCATAAGTCTTAAAACCACCCACAGAAACAACTTCATCCACACAGTTGCAACCTCGTATTTATTTCAGGGCATTCAACCCCTGAATATCCGTAACTGCGGCTCTCTGTTCAGACCCCCAATACCTGTTTGAGAAAAGCATTCATAGCCAGTTCATTTGCTTCCTTTTTGGTCTCACAAAAGACAATGGTCCGCCCATGGCTGCCACTGTAGACTTGAATGATATCCCCAAGAACTCCTGCTCTCTGAGATGAACGACACTGTATAGCCAAGTGCTGTTTAGGAAACAAACATGATAAGCATCCATGTTAAATCTAAGCCACGCACAGGACAGACAAAATGAACACAGAAAGATATTTTTTTTAAGCTTGCAAACTACTGCCCCCATATGAAAGCTTTGCTTAAAAAATTTGTGTGTCAATCATGTGAAAGGTCATTCCACACCCCGATTTGTAAAGTCAATACAGAACCCATCTCATCCAGACCACACACTCTCAGGACCTGCACTGCTCTGCAGCAGAATCACTCACTTCCACAGTCGTGGCAGTCCTTTGAGTTTTCTTTCCAATCAGGTCAATCTGTTCATACTCATCTTTCATGTATTTTTTTGCTACATCATATACCCATCGTGGACAAGTTGCAGAAAACAGCAGTGTCTGGGGGTTGTTCTCAGAATCTGGAAGGAAAGGCCACTGATTTCAGTCATCACAACAGACTCTGAAACTTGAGAACTGATAAAAAAAGCAAGAGTCGCTCTCAAATTGAGAGGTTTATATGTGCAGTAAGTCAGCTACAAGAAGAAAACTTAGAAGCAATGAAAACATTTTTAATACCCTTTAGACACCAGAGGCAAAATTACAGTAATTTTAACTGGACCAAACTGAATCCTTCATCCTGCCTGAGAAGAAATGCAAGACGTGTTTCTAGATCATCTGCTAAAAATGGTTTAGACTGTGCCTGAAGTCCTCCCACATACCTGAAAGTACTCGTCTCAATCCCTCCTTGTCTGCTATTCCAATACTAACTAGTTGTGCACAGTATGGCTATGTGCAAAGGAAAAAGGCAGGCTAAAAAGGACACTCTGCAGACCAGGGGGAAGAATTATATAACAAGATAGATTACCCCAGGTAAGAACAGTTTACCAAACAGTATCTTGAAAAAGCTTAACCTGCCTTCATAGCTCCACAGGATCAGACAGAAAGAAACACACATTGCAAAAGAACGCTATTATTCCCTGCAATTTATTTTCTAGTTTGAAGAAAACTTTTAAGATTGAATAGTTATGACAAGTCTTCCAAAACCTATACAGATTTCCTTTTTTAGGAGATTATCTGTACTTTTGGCTGTCAGGACAAAGACCAACTCTGCAGAAATGGGGAGAATGTAACAGTCAAGTAAAAAAGACAGTGGCTGTGCTGGGTCAAACCTAAGATCCATAAAGCTCATATACTCTCTCCAACAGTAGTCAAGTGCAGTTAACAAAGATGTGAAGAAACACTGCCAGCAACCAGCTTTTTGTGGCTTCCAGAGCCAGAAGTGATACCCTTGCTTCTAGTAATCCTTGGTATTTCTACTTCCAGTAATTCAAGTCACTTTTCAAAACTTTTGGCATTAGTACAATGTGGCAAGGAATTTCACAGTATTAAAATAACCTCCTTCTGCTCTGTACTTGCTCCCTGGTGGTTTCGCTGAATGCCCATTACATCAGAAAAGAGCAAATATTCCCTAGTTGTCAACTTTGTGTGATCACAAGTGTACAGACACATTATAACCCTAACCCTATGCTCAGTCACCTCTCTCAGGATGAAGAACACTAGGGCTTACGGAGTTGGGTTGGGTTTGTTGCTTTTTTGCCTTTTTTTTTTCCCCCCTCCCAGAGATGCCATTCCAGCCCTTCAGCCATCTGTCACCTTGCTTTGAACCTTTTTCAACTCTACCTTACCCCTTCCTCTTGAGGTCCAATACTAGCGTCACATAAAGGATTCAAGTTGAGGGTGCACCAGCAGTTTTCAAAGTAGCATAATTGTGTTTTCTGCACTGTCCTCTATTCCTCTCCTGATGTCAGAATTTACCTTTTTTATAAGCAAATCCTAAGATTTCTTCCACTTGTTCAGCAAAGCCCATGTCTAACATGTGATCAACTTCATCCAAAACAACATGCTTCACGCTGGAAAGTTCCAGCTTGCTATTCTGAATGTGGTCTTTGATCCGTCCAGGAGTTCCCACTAGAATATCAATGCCACTTTTAAGGAGATCAACTGGAAGAAAAGACAGAAAAACAAGGACAGTGTCAGAATGCCAAGAGACAACAAGGTAAAAAGCTACCAGTACACAGCAACACTTCTAATTTTAGAACCAAAAAACTACTGCCCTTCACTTTAATCTCTGAATAAAGCACTACGTCCAGTCCGAGTAGCAAACAAGTAAGCTTAATAGCAGTCCAAGTTGCTCTGTCAGGAATACAGCTAAACCACAAGCAAAGTTACAGTAAGATACGCCAATTTCCAAGCAGCAATGAGCTGGCATTAGAAAATTCCAGAGCTTTATCACAGAAAAACACTTTAGTTTTTCAGCTGAATTCTTTTTCACAGCTACCTCTGGAGAGAAACAGAGCCACACGCACATACACAGTTCTCTCTTTTCCTTGGACAGTCGTCTAGTCCCGGTATATGTCCACACAAAAACCACACAAACACGCAATAAAGAAGAAACTAAAAGGACTAGTCACTTTGCAGACCTACAACCACTCTTTTAAATAAAGATTTATTGGAACTAAAATAATTCAACCCAGGCTGTATGCTTCCTTAGAAAGCAATGTCATGGTTCCTGACTGAAGTGAAACTCTGAGGGGGGAAAAAAAGACAGTTTTATTCATGGAATGCATTTGGAGAAAGTCAACTCCAATCCAGTCATAATTCCTTAGCATTTACTTACGCTGTGCTTTATATGGAGTTCCTCCATAAAAACAAGCCACTGACAGTTTCCTGGTGAGATTCTTGAAGTCTTTGGCTACCTGAGTGGCCAGTTCCCTGGTTGGAACAAGAACCAGCACCTGGAGGGAGTGAAGAGAGACAAAAATGCAGCTGTGCTTGGGAGAGGGTGCTAGGAGAAAAGGGTTTACTTCATGTCAAACAGCTTGTACTCCCGTTCTTATTCTATACTTGTTGCAGAGGTGCCCACAGCTCCCCACCAACCCAGGAATATTTCCTGCCACCTGGAGCCTGCACATCACAGCCTCATAGCCAGTAAGAGGAAACAAGGCAAAGCATTACAAGATAACAGAGATGTACAACAACAATTTTTTTTTTCTTAAGTTAATGCCAGATAAAATAGACACTGCAGTAACATTACCAAGGACAATGAAGGTGCAGTTCAGCATTAAAGGATAGGAACAGTCACTAAACAATTTGGAGTGGTAAGATCTTAAAAGATACATAGCATGATGCACTCTAGCCATATATCCTCCTTCTCCACCTACCTGCCTTCCTCCAGTATCTATCCTTCCCCCCTCCATTTTGTTTTAAGAATGAAATGATAAAACAAAGGGCTGAATTCTTCTCTAGAAATCTTTCAGACAATAAGCTTTTAAAACTTACATCACTTTTAAAGTTAATAAAATAGAAGGATGAAGTAAGCAACAAATCTGCACACTGTAACAGTTTTCAGTCTAATGATAAACATATACACTTCATTTGTGTGGGAATATGATATCTGATCACAAGTATCTCGTTACCAATTCCATCTCATGATTAAGTAGAAATGTAAACACCACTTGCACCCATTAAGTTGAGTCTTCAGACATGAGGCAAAAATAAAAAACCAAAAGCCTTCAGTTATCGCTGTGGAATTTATAGTGAGAAACAACTTCAGTGAATGGAGACAAGTCCAGCTGACTCAACCACTACCTGAGAAGAGGCAGGGGATTCAACCCCAAAGCTGCACACTAACTTCCTGAGGATAGCAGTCTCCCAGATAAGGTCACAAGGAACCGTAAAAGTGAAATGTGTTATCACTGTGATGCTGCAAAACCTCTGTCACATTGTAGCTCCTGATCTGAGCAAAGCATTCAGTATTACAAACACCAATAAAGGAGAAAGAAGTCCAAAAAAAGTCCCCAAAGCAATTACAAAATCACTTTTGAAAACTGCCATATTTTAAGGTTTTGGTGTTAACCCTTAGGCTGTAAGTTACTTTTGGTGAACGGCCTCTTCTCCCATCTTGCGAGACACTCTGAAGTTGTTCAGTCAGCGGAAGAGCGAAAGAAAAGGTTTTCCCGGTTCCTGTTCGAGCTTGAGCAATTAGGTCTTTGCCATCATATATGGGCTGAAAAGTCTTCACTTGCACAGGGAACAGGTATTTTACACCTCGAGCTGTAAAATAATCCAAAGAGGTTCATTAAAAGGTGCTGATTCTACTGAATCAGCTGAACAAACAATTAGAAGCCCTCATATATAACTAGCCCGAATGTGTAGGACATGTAAAATCCTGTATACAACAGAAGGTGCAAGTTAGAAGAAATACACATCTGTATATTTTCTCTCCTACTCTAGATCAAAAAGTATTCCCCCTTAAACACACAGCTGAGTATTCACAATGAAATAAAGCCTTCTTTATGATGTTTGGCATAAGACAACCGAAGGGAAAGAAGATAAAAAAAAAGAAAATGTTTTTTCTGATACAGCCCAAGATTTTGTGGTAGCTTGGTTTTGAGGGCAGGGGAGGAGGTGACAGTGTTTATTTTATGATATTCTAAAACTCTCTCGAGATTTTGCACAGTGGAAGTGAAACAATCCAAGGACAATGTAAAGCAACTAGCATAACTGTCTGGGAAACAAGAATTGCACAGTTTCCCAACAGAGAGAACAACACGAAATCTACAGTGGTTACATCCACAATAAAACTAATCTAGAGGAGATGTGAAAATACCTGGAAGTATGAGAATAATCAGAGACAATCTGTTCACAGGAGCCAAATAGTCCTCATACATGAAACACCATTACATGTATTTAAGAACCGATATTGTAGACAGCAGATACCGGAATTAAACTAAAGATACACAGTAAGTAAAATGATACTGATGAGAAGAAAACCACCGTCTCTAGAATGTATATGTAGGAATAACCACACCATGGAAGAATAAACCCCCCTTAAAATGACAGAACTTGAAATGGAACAAAACAGAAACTCTGTTCCTACTAACAACAGCAGATTCTTTGAATCTACAGTGACCGCTCATGTGTGTGTTCTTACTCCACAATAAATGTAAGATGATTTAGGACAATTTACCCTTGGCTTCTGTCTCTGCTTGCATGGGTAGCAGAGTGCAATTCTGGACAAACATTTACAGAAATTTCTTTTGCCACGTTAACTAACCTTTGAGAAGGTTGATAGTGTTTTGGGAGAGAGGAAAATTGGAGAAGGCACCTTCTTTTGCTTCTTCTGTCAGCTCCTAACAGGATAAAAGAAAAAAAACCCAACTTATTACCCCTAAGAGATGAGCAAATAACTTACCCTAGATAGGCACACAAGAAAAGTTGTACATTTACTTTATCACTACAGTTTTACCAGCTACCTCCTTTCTGTTTAAAGAGAAAGAAAACCCTTCTGATACAGGTACTTCACAAACAAAAACATCATCACAGCATAAAGTGGGAAACTTGAATCCAGCCACCCTGTATTAGAGGACAAGACACACTGACACAGGCTGCACCAGTTAGCATAACATAATTCCTACAAGTGAATCCTGTTTTTACATCAGTCTTAAGTAAAGACTTCCTGCCAAAGGTCTTACTGCTCATTACCTGCAACAACTTGTTCAAAACCACGACTACTGCTATCTCATCCCTAGTTCAGATATACCTGCACCACCTTTTAAGACCCATGGCAAACAAAAGGGAACAACTGCCCCTTCTGTGTGATCTTACCACATTATGTACATATGCTTGGCAAGTCAGGAAAGGGAAACTACTTGTTAAAAATCTTAACTGGAGTCCACTGAAATAATTAGAAAACCGTTTTTCACAGCAAAACATATTTGGTGTCACAATTCACTGTGTGAAGCAGGAATTTCCGTCTAAATCACACCTACTCAGTACACCACGCAAACAGCTTACTTAAAACTTACTATTTAGCTTCTACTTCAAAGATCTGAGAGATCACATCATTACACCCAATGTACAAAAAGCACTCTCTTGATCCACATTCCCATCTTAAACACAAAAAAGAAAACTACCCACAGAAGGCTCTATACAGGGGAAGGCAAGCTGCGGGGCCCTCTCGCACGCGCATGCGAGGCTAAGGGTGAAATCTGAACAGGAAGAACTCCAGAAGCGGGAATTAATGAGGATAACCGTGACCTTTCCTTACAGGACACCTTGCCAAATACTTCTTCAAAGGGTCCGCCATGGGAGAAAGTGCTGTCAGAGCACAAAGCAATGCACATTTCTGGGATGCTGACTGCCTGTGCAGCAGGGAGAAAGCCTTGTGCTGCAGGACGCAAAACAAAGTTGCCACACAAAGATGAGCTAGCGCACGGAAACTGCTTCCTGCTAGCTAGCCTCCTCCACTGCAGGATAAGCTGCTCCAAATGGCCTGGCATTTACAACGAGGAGGAAAGCACAAGGAGAGACAGCTGCCATGTGTTGGTGCACATACTGCTGTGCTTCACTGTGCTGGTTTTGGCTGGGAGAGTTAATTTTCTTCATGGTAGCTAGTATGGGGCTTTGTTTTGGATTTGTGCTGGAAACAGTGTTGATAACACAGGGATGTTTTTGTTATTGCTGAGCAGCACTGACACAGCATCAAGGCCTTTTCTGCTTCTCATCCCACCCCACCAGCGAGCAGGCTGGGGGTGCACAAGAAGTTGGGAGGGGACACAGCCGGGACAGCTGA